CTGCTCCTGCTGCTGCTCCTGCTCCTACTGCTACTGCTGCAGCAGCTGCTGCTGGTCTTGCTGCGTGCAGCACGTTCTTCGAAGCCCCGCGGCTGCGGCTGGATGGCATTTATATCAGCAAATGCGTTTACTTAAGAAGAGTGAGAGATGTGGGGAATATACACTTGGACGACAGACGCCGCAGGACGCTGCAGCAGCTGCAGCAGCAGCTGCAGCAGCAGCTGCGGCAGCCCACAGGGGCCCCCATAAGCCAGGAGCTCATTAATAACCTGGCAGCAAATTCGCCTGTCGTTGCCGTCACTTACTACAGATATTTGCGCTTCTTGCCCAACAACAGGGTCTTAGTGCTCAGGTTTGCTGCTGCTGCTGCTGCTGCTGCTGCTGCTGCGGCTCGCGGGGCCGTGGCTTCTGCTCCCACTGTTTCCCGGCGTCTGCTGCTTTGGCTGCTGTTGCTCTCCTGCCTCTATTTTGCTTCTGGAGGCTGCTGCAGCTGCTGCTGTTGCTGCTGCTGCTCGCTCTGCTGCTGCTGCTTGGCGCAAAGCACTTGCGAAGCGAGCAGCAGCAGCAGGTGCAGCAGCTGCAGTTTCTGCAGCTGCAGCAGCAGCTGCTTCGCACAGCGGGTTAAGCAGTTGCTGCAGTTTGGGGTGTACAGACAGACAGCTCTGTAACTTGGCGAGATCGGGAAAATGTGAAAGCTGAATAAAAAGAAAACAAAATAAAAACAAATTAATTAAAACAAATTTAATGGCATTTGAACTGTTCTTGGATTTGTTTGCTGCAGGTCTGAGGCTGAGAAGCAAGTTGCTGTTGCTGCACTCAAGTGCGTGGAGGCTCGCTTGGAGGGAAAGCCTGTGAGGGTTTAGGGTTTGTAGTTTAGGGTTTGTTGTTTAGGGTTTGGGGTTTAGTTTCGAGGGTTTATCATTTTAAAATTTAAACCCCTCATTTAGAGTTTATTTCCATTTCCGAAAAGACTTCAGTGCCGATGCCCCAGGGTTTGCTGCTGCTGGCTGCTGCAGCAGCAGAGGACAGCCAGCTGCAGCCCTCAAAACTTACCGAAAAAGCTGCCGCCGCTGCTGCTGCTGCTGCTGCTGCAGGACAGCTGCAAAGCTGCGCTGGCCCCCAGCAGGGCCCCCGCTCTCCAAGGGGCCCCCCTGCCAGACCAAGTGGTTTTGGGACTTTTTGATTTTGACACTTCGAGCAAAACTGTTACTTTGGAGTACCCGGGGCGGAGCCCCGCAGCAGCAGCAGCTGCTGCTGACGGTGCAGCAGCAGCAGCAACAGCAGCAGCAGCAGGAAACCCGCAGCAGCGCGGGGGCAGGAGCCGCAGGGAAGCTGCTGCTGGAGCAGTTGTGGGGCCCCACGAAGACAGCCGGGGGCCCCCAAATCCAAGACCAAACAGAGAAGCGTCCAGAGGGGGGCCCCCCAGCTCTTGGGGGGCCCCCAGCAACTTGGGAGCCCCCAACACTAGAGGGGCCCCTAACAACTTGGGGGCCCCCAACAGCTTGGGGGCCCCCAGCAGCTTGGGGGCCCCCCGAGCTGCCCCTGTACATACAGCAGTGCTGCAGTTGGCCCACGTGAAGGGGGGGTGGTGGAACTCCAAGCTCAAGTGGATAAGTGAGCTGCAAACCCTAAACCCTAAACCCTAAACCCTAATCCCTGGAGTCTACGGAGTCTGCATTCCGGGGGGAATGGCCCGAGCCAGAAATGGGAAAGCGCAAAAGACAAATGAAAGTTCTTAAGAGACATCAGTTGGGGGTAAAGTGGCTTAGAGCTTGATTTAGGGTTTAGGGTTTAGGGTTTAGGAAGTGGGGGTTTTCGCGCAGGCTTGTCGGTCACTTCCAACACGCATTACGGACCAGACGAATCTTTTATTGATGTTGAAAACGAGAACTTCAGGTGACCTCGCCGGCAAACCCTAAACCCTAAACCCTAACTCCAAACCCTAAACCCTAAACCCTAGAAACCCTCTGGCCCAAGACTCTGAACTGCTCCTTTCATTTTCCTTTTGCGTTTTGTTTTCAGGCCATTTCTCTTCCACCGCGTCATTTCCTTCCAAGATTATTTCTAGGGTTTGCGAGGGTTTAGGGTTTGCGAGCAGCGGCGGTCTAGGGTTTAGGTTTGGTGCAAAACCGCAAACCCGAGGGGTCACAGAGTAAAAGGGGCCCCTCTTGTGCTGCTGCTGCTGCTGCTGCTTTGCTGCCCCGCAGCAGCAGCGCGGCAAAGGCTGTGGCCGAGGCCTCGAATTTCAGGACCTCAACACCTCAGGGTTTTTTGCTCAGGGCAACTACGAATGCAGTTTTTTTCAGGGTTTAGGGTTTAGGGTTTAGGGTTTAGGGTTTGGGGCACTTCACGAGAGGTGCTTCTCAGGTTTCTTGCTCGCTTAAATAGAAGACTGGAAATCTCTGCTCTGGTAATGCACGGAGTGTAAGAACTAGAGTTTAAGATTCGAAGTTTTGCGTAATATATCTTGAAAACAGAGCTAGAGAATGCCTCCTATGTGTACGTACACTCCAAATCGAACCGTTTTGTAGCATTTCAAATGGACTTCGCGCATTCACCTTTCGATTTTGCAAAATCTGAATTCCATTTGAGGATTTTTGCTGGCTGTGCAGCTCTGCCGGAGCTTTTGAGTGACTGCCAGATTAATATTGCTTTTTAAAAATTTAATTATTCGCAGATGTTCTTTTATTTTGAATTGATTACCTCTACTCCGGTGAGCCAGAGGGGTTTCTTTTGGCTGCAGCAGTTGCAGCAGCAAAGCGGTCAAACTTCGTGCGCGGGAGCGAAGGCCATTAAAGAATCTTTCAGCAGCAGTTTTAATAGTTAAAGAAATTGGATTGCAAAAGGCTTTTCTCAGATTCGAGGGATTTGTCACTGGTTTCAGCCGCTGAGGCCCTGCTGCAGGTTTTGCAAAAGGTGAATGTACGGAGGTCACCGCCTCGCACAACGAAACGCATATAAAAAAGGAAAGACAGCGACTTAAAAGTCAAAAATATGAATTAAGAATTGAAAAGCATTTTACAAGTTATCAAAATGGTTTGAAAAATTGCAAAAAGACATATTAATCGTGAACAGCAGAAAGTCCAGCAGACGGCCCCCTCACCTTCTGCTGATCTGGGGCCCCAGCAGCAAGTGAAGAACCCCCCAACCCGCGGCCTCCTTCTGCGTTTTTGTCTTCAAAATGGGACCAAATGAATTTAATTTGACGAAATAAAACATTTAATTGCTTTTGATGCACAAAAAACGGACTCAAACGCACAACAACCCCATGCATTCCCGCGCTGCTAACACCCCCGGGGCCCGCTGAAGCCCAGAGCCGCAAAGCCCCCGCGGCTTCTTTCCTTAATGAGGGGCCTTTTTGGTTTCCTGGCTTATCTTGGCTGAGGAGAGGCTCCAGGCGGGCCCAGGGCTGCTTCGCTGCAGTAGCAGCAGCAGCAGCAGCGGCAGGAACTGCAGCAACTGCAGCAGCAAATGCAAGCCGAGTCTGAAGCCCCCACGGCCTCTGCAGGGCCCCCCCCGCTGAAGAAGCACAAAGCCGCAGGGGCCACCAAGCTGCAGCAGCCTTTCAAAGCAACGTGGGTCTCCCCTAAAGGCAGCAGCAGCAGCAGCAGCAGCAGCAATGGCAGCAGCAGCAGCAGCAGCAGCAAAGGCCTACTTCTCAAGGCCAAAAGCCCCTTTGCCCCTGCATCTTCGCTGAAGTCTTTAAGCCCAAATGCAGGGGAAAGCCACCGGAGGTCTTTCGGGCCTCCTGCTGCAGCTGCGGAAGAAGCAGAAGAACATGCAGCAGCAGCAGAAGCAGCAGCAGCAGCAACAGCTGCTCCCGCTGCGACAATGGCGGCAGCAGCAGCAACAGCTGCAGCAGCGATAGCAGCAGCAGCCGCCACTGCGCCCAAGACAGCAGCAAACGCTGTTGCTGCTGCTGCTGGATCTGTGCCCCCCGAAGCAGCCGCAGCACCAGCAGCAGCCACCACCGCAGCGCCAGCAGCAGCAGCAGCAGCAGCAGGGGATGTAATAGATGTGGACGAAGACGAGCTGCCGCTGTGTCCTTTACGCAAAACCCTAAAAAGGGTTTGGGGGTTTTCAGAGTTTCGAAAAGGACAAGAGGAAGCTGTGAGGGCTGTGCTGCAGGGCAAAGACGCGCTAGTCATCATGCCCACAGGTGCCTAGGGTTTAGGGTTTAGGGTTTAGGGTTTAGGGTTTCGGGTTTCGGGATTAGTTGTGCGCTGGAGGCCGTCGGCGCACTGAACAGTTTGAAACGCCGGGCGCCAAGCAGCGCGAACCCGCTAACCCTAAACCCTAAAGCCTTAAACCCTAAACCCTAAACCCTAAACCCTAACTGTTTGCTGCTGCAGGCGGGGGCAAGTCGCTGACTTATACGCTGCCTGGGCTGCTGCTGGAGGGCGTTGTGCTTATTGTGTCTCCCCTCATTGCCCTCATAGAGGACCAGGTGCGCTCTAGGGTTTAGGGTTTAGGGTTTAGGGTTTAGGGTTTAGGGTTTAGGGTTTAGGGTTTGCTCCAAGTGTGGAGCTGGACCAATTCAAAGAAAGAGCATTAGATGAATAGAGAGACAGACACTGAAAGACGAGAAAAGAAAAAAGATATGCCATCGCTTACTGCTGCTTTGTTTGCTGCCACTGCTTTGCTTGCTGCTGCTGCTGCTGCTGCTGCTGCTGCAGCTGCGCCGCTTGCGTGCTCGAGGGCTTGCGGCGTTTTGTCTCAACTCGACGCTGACACCGAAGCAGCGGCAGGAAATCATAGGGCGCCTCCTCAACCCTCAGCAGCAGCAGCAGCAGCAGCAGCAGCAACAGCAGCACCAGCAGCAACAGCAGCAGCCGCAGGGGCCCATTAAGTTTTTGTTTGTGACGCCGGAGCAAATTGCCACCCCCTCTTTCCAAGGCGTGCTGCGGCAGATGGAGCAGCAGCGGCAGCAAGTCAAGGAGCAGAGAAAGCAGCAGCAGCAGCAGCAGCAGCAACAGCAACAGCAGCAGCAGCAGCACAAAGGAGGAGCAGGTGTGGCGCTTGTGGCTATTGACGAAGCGCATTGCATTTCCTCTTGGGGTCACGATTTCAGGGCCAGCTACAGGCAAGCCTCGGCTGCTGCTGCTGCTGTAGCTGCTGCTGCTGCAGCTGTTGCTGCAGCTGTTGCTGCAGTTGCTGCTGCTGCATAGCTGCTGTTGCTGCTGCAGCTGTTGCTGCTGCAGTAGTTGCTGTCGCCTAGCTGCTGCTGCCTAGCTGCTGCTGCCCACTCCACCGCCACCCCCACCGCCAGCACTGCTGCTGCTGCTGCTGCTGCTGCTGGGTGCAGGCGTTTGGGTTTGCTGCGGAGTTTGCTGCCGGAGACGCCGCTGCTGGCGTGCACTGCAACAGCAACAGCAGCAGTGCAGCAAGACATCTGCAGCAGCTTGAGGCTCCGGCAGCCAGTGCTGGTGCGGCTTTCTTTCAACAGGTTTGTGGCTTTTTCTTCTTTGATCTTTATTCGTTTATTTCTTTTATTCTTTATTTCCTTTATTCTTCTATTTCTTTTATTCTTTTATTGTTTTAATTTTGTTTTTTTATTCCTTCATTCTTTTGTTCTTCATTTGTTTTGTTATTTCATTCTGCTCTGCAGCCGCCGCCTGCGAGATTGAAGAAACTTGTCTATTTTTTGCAATTCTTTCTTTAATAAATCCATTTCATCAAATAAAAATGAAAATTAAATCCATTTTATTAAATAAAAGAATAAATACTTTATTTTAATGCTCTAGGCCGAACATTTATTACGAAGTTCGACTGAAGATGCCGGAGACGGAGGACGAGGAGGCGCTGGGGTGTACAGACAGGGAGCAGGAAACGGAGTTTGCTGCAGCAGATTTGGCAAAAGAAATAAAAAGAAATCATTTCAATGATTTAGGAATTGTTTATTGCTTAAAGAAGACTGACTGCGAGACTGTAAGGCCCCTTGGCAGGGCAATCGTGCAAAAAAAGCTTGAAAGAAAAATTCAACTTTGCAAATCTTTTGCGTGCGCTCTATTTCCTGCTTCTTTCTTCTTTCCTTCTGCATTCTACATCTCCGTGTTTTATCTTTGTTTTGTTTATCTCCTTTTCATTTTGTTTTCGGTTTTTAATTCTTTTTTTCTTGAAAAATCCTCTTTTGAGTCCATTGGTCCGTCAGTTTCTGCATTTGGCTTTCCTCCAAAGTGCATTATTTTGAGGTATATTGACAGCTGCTGGTGCGAGTAAACTTTAAAACTCCAAAATGAACTCTTGTGACTTCGTCACAATTAACTTGTCTCTCTCTCTCTGTCAGCTGCCTCTCCCGCCTTTGTCTTTGCCCTTCTCGCTGTGGCTCCTGCTGCTGCTGCTGAGGTTCTGCTGCTGCTGCTGGTGAGGCTGTGCTGCTGCTGCTGCTGCGCATAACTTTCCCGCTGCTGGTGTGTGAATCTGCGTGTCTGGACATACACTGTAGCCATGTTTAACGAGGCCAAAACCAAAAAAAGTAAAACAAATAAAACAAATAAAAGAAAACAAACAAACAAACAAACAAATAAATAATAAATAAACGGCAATGTGCTGCACTGCGCAGCTGGCGCTGCTGCTGAGCCGCGCAGGCGTTGCTGCTGCTGCTTACCACGCGGGCCTTTCTGAGAAGCTGCGGCAGCAAGTGCAGCGCCGCTGGTCCGAGGGTTTAGGGTTTAGGGTTTTGGTGGCCACAGTGGCTTTTGGCTTGGGAGTGGACAACCCCCACGTGCGCTTCGTGGTCCACTTTTCCCTGACAAAAACCATCGAAGGTGCCCAAACCCTAAACCCTAAACCCTAAACCCTAAACCCATTTGAAAGAAAAGCGAGAAAAAGAGGGAAAACGGAGGGAAAAAGAGGAAAATGGAATTCTTTTCAATTTAAATCCAAGTCCGCCACTTGGCAGCAAAAGAAAACTCTGAAAAGTCTCAAATTCCAAAATGCCAAAAACACAACTTCCCTGCGCTGCGGTGTACGTACAGCCTTCTACCAGGAGTCCGGCCGCGGCGGCCGCGACGGATTTGCTGCTCGCAGCATTTTATATTTTTCGCCCGCGGACTACCGGCTGCTGCAGTTCGTGCTGCAGCAGCAGCGGGAGCAGCATGTCGCAGCAGCAGCAGCAGCAGCAGCAGCAGCGGGCGCGCGGCAACCCAAAGACGTGCAGCAAGTCCAAAAAGCTGCAGCAGAGCAGCACGAAAAGCAAATCCAAAAACTTAAGGCTTGTTTGTCTTACTGCCGCCTCGCGGGCTGCCGCAGGCGCTATTTGCTGCAGCAGTTCGGCGAAGAGTACACCCCTGCTGCTGCTGCTGCTGCGGGGGCCCCCCCCACTGCAGCAGCAGCAGGAGCAAGCGCTGCTGCTGCTGCGGCTCGCTGCTGCGACAACTGCAGCGACCCAGCAGCAGCTCGCCGCCGCGCGCTGCTGCTCAGCAAGCTGGAGGGGTCTGCTGCTGCTGCATCAACAGCAGCAAGAAAAACTTTCTGGAGAGATGCAGCAGACAGCAGATTGGCTCCCTTAGAAATTGAGAAGCAAGAAGTGCCTGACGGGGGCCGCCGGGGGCGGGGCCGCGTGGTCTACAAGAACCCAGCAGCAGCAGCAGCAGCAGCAGCAGCAGCGCCGCAGCGGCAAGCGATCCCCGAAAGCATTCGCAAGAAAGGCTTGGCAGCTGTTATGAAAGAGCTCGAGAAACGGGAGCAGCAGCAAGAAAGCAGCAGCAACAGCAGCAGCAGCAAGAAGCACCACGCACTCTTTGCGGAGTTCCGGTCCGCCGCAAAATTGTCCGCAGCGCCGTCGCCGCCAGCAGCAGCAAAGCCTGCAGCAGCAGCAGCAGCTGCTGCTGCAGCAAGACCAGCAGCTGCTGCAGCAAGACCTCTGAAGACTCTGGGCCTCTGCCGGCCCATCGGGCTGCAGCGGACTCGCCCCTCGCCGTAGCACTGCAGCAGGAACTCCCTATATTATTGCTCTCTTTGCTGCTGTTGCTGCTGTTGCTGCTGCTGCTGCTGCTGCTGCTGCAGAGGCGGCTGCACCCTGCGCAGTGTCGATACACTCGAGCAGCTGCACGTGCATGCGCCGTTTGCTTCTGTTTTTCTCCCTTTTCACTTTTATCACTTCTAATTATTCCCTAAATATGTTTTATTTCGCAAATAATGCAAAAAGCAAACCAAAAGAAACCCAAAAGTCCCCAAAGTTGGGCCAAAAGGTCACTAACTGCTGCGACTTTCTGGCACCTCCAAACCCCCGGGGCCCCTGGGCACTACTGGGGGCCCCCAAAGACACCCAAAAGCCCCAAATGCAAACCCGCTGGGTTTCCACGCACAATAAAAAGGGCCTTGGGGCCCCCAGGGGCCCCAAGGGGGGTGCCCCACGGCTCCCAAGGGGGCCCCCAGGGGGGCCCCTAGGGGCCCCCCTAGACACGAATCAAGACCCCTCTGGAGCTTCCCTTGGGCCCCCACTGTAAAGGCCCTAGTGCCCCTCAGGGGCAACCCAGGGGTCCCCCAGGGGCCTCTCAAGGGGCCCCTCTGGGGCCCCATTAGGGGGGCTTTGTATTTACATTCCTTAAGAAAAAGAAGTCTGCTGCGCCCTCGGCGGCAAGCCGGGGTGTCTGTCCACCTGCGAACGGGAGCTGTTGAAATAGTTGGGAGATTTTGGAGGAGTTTTTTTCATTTGAAAAGTTTTAAAAAAATAGAAAGGCTTTCTGCAGAAGAGCTGCTTTAAAGAAGTCCATTTGGCTGCGGCGATGAGGTGTACGTACAGCTGGGGTGTGCGCGCAGCTGAGGTGTACGCGCAGCTGGGGTGTACGTCCAGCTGGGGTGTACGTGCAGGTCCGACGTGCACTTCTGCATTTTGCAATTTGGAGTCTTCAGAAGATTTTAAAAACACGAATGAGCAGCAGAAGTTGTCAAAAAGGCGACTGTCTCGACGCAATTTGCTTCAGAGGTGGAAATGGATCTTCTTTCAACAAAGAAGGAGAAACGCATGCAACAATCAGAACCACCAAGGCCCTCCGGAACCACGAGGGTTTGTCTGTGTACTGAAACTCCGGCAGCAGCTGCCCCAAGTCCCCTGGGGGCCCCCTGCGGCTGCTGCGGCTGGGGCCCCTCTGGGGCAGCACGGCCACGGGGCTCGCCAGGGGGGCCCTCCGCGGCGACCTCGCTGCTGTTGCTGCTGCTGCTGCTGCTGGCGCGGCTTCGTTTGCTGCCACAGAAGCCGCAGAGCTGCGCCTTCCAGGTGCAGCAGGAAGCCCCAAGGCTGCTGCTCCCGAGGGGCTTCGGGGAGAAGAGGGGCCGGGCGCTCTTCGGGGGGCCTCAACTAGTGTTGGGCCCGTAGGAGCAGCAGCAACAGGCGCTGCTGCTGCTGCTGCTGCTGGCGCTGCTGCAGCAGCTCCGGCGGGTCTTGATGCAGCAAGCTGCACAGCGGGGGCCCCTGGGTACCCCCAAGGGACGACGCTCTCCATAGGGAAGGAGAAAAAGGAAAATGAAAAGATAAATGAAGTGTTTTGGATTCAAAGAAATGAAGTTTTTGGGAAATGAGAAAAAGGCCTTTGAGTGCAGCGTGGGAAAGGGGAAACTGCCAAGAGGCCAGCCCGAGCGCTGCGGCGCCGCGTGTGCACTTGTGGGAAGAACAAAAGAACTTTTTTTCAGAATAAATACCTTTTATAATTAAACAATAAAGTTAACTAAGTTCAAGAAAAGAAAATGAACGGGTACTTCGCGCGGGGGAGGCCCCAGCAGCCGAAGCGCCGCGAGGCCCCGTCGATAGCCACTGCCCAGGCCGCGGATTCGCAAGGGTTTCGCCGGTTATGTGGAATCTGCAAAGAAATTCGAGAAATGTAATTTAATTTGAAGAAATAAATTGATGTTTGAAGCTGGATCTGCAGCAACTTCTTTGCTTACGTCATTGCCAGACAGACAGCCGAGTAGCCAGCTGCTTGTCTGCTCCTGCTCGCTGCTTTCTGCTGCTGGCCGCCGCAACACCGGGGCTAAACGCTAGCGAGTTGGCTTAATTTCAATTATTTTATTTATTTGATTTAATTAATCCATAATTAATGCGTAAAAGAGGACCCGCGGCCACCCACCGCGGCCAGGGGCTGCGCTCTGCCTCCTTGCTGTGCAGGTGGATCGACGGGCTGGCGCGACACCGCTGCGAAAAAGGAAGGAAAACATAATTGTAGCTGCTGAGGATGCTAAGAAGATGCTAAACATCTCATAAAATAAAGTAAAATAAAGTTCGAGAGTTTAATTCGTTCATTATACGCGGTTCCCGCTGCCCAGAGAAAGTGGTGTGCCAGTAGGCCGCCACCAAGTGGTTGCGCCCGAGCTGACCTCGCGAGCGCACCCCTGGCTCTACTTACGGACATTCTAAATAAATAAAAGACAGTAAAACATATTTACAGATAAACATCCCGTGAATAGTACTCTATTTGCTGTCTGGTTGCGCCTAATACTCAGAAGTCCAGTCTTGCAAGAGCCGCGCGGCCTGTCCATAGACAGGGGGAGTGCTGCCTCCACTGCTCTTTAGCTTCTTTTTGCAAATAAATTAGAGATCTGAGCCTGGAGAAGGTTCATCCTTTAAGGATTAAAATATTGTAATGAATATCTGTTGAAAAAGATAGCTGATCGAGCCCTCGAGCCCAGGAAGTCGCAGATCTCTGGCTCAACGCCAGACGTTGTGTACAGCAGCAAGGAAAGGAAATAGATGAAGAACTTTTGCTTCGAAAGAGGAACAGCTGTTCACTTTAAATGAAAAGAAAGCCCCAGATTAGACCTATGCGAGTCCTTCGTGCGCAGCGCGAGACATTCCTCTTTCTTGAACACGAAATTCAGAACCTCCCGCGAGACGCACTCGATGTGTCTTTTGACGGAGGGAAAGAAAATTAAATGCACAATGGAAAAAGAAATTAAATGCAAAATGGAAAAGAAAGAAATTAAATGCAAAATGGAAAAGAAAGAAATTAAATGCAAAAATGGAAAGAATACATCTCCGGCACTCAGCGCTCTTGAACTACCTCAGATGCACCAGCATCAGCGCCGGGTTTTCCAGCAGGTTCTTGATGCTGAAAAAGAAGACCAAAACAACAAAAAGAAAACAAAGGCGTTTACACTACAAATAATGCACTGCATGCAGGCAAAACAACGAACATAAACGCTAAATCGAGCCCCCTACGGGCAGCAGCAGCAGCATCTGCAGCAGCAGCAGCAGCAGCGGCAGCAGCAGCAGCAGCAGCGGCTGCAGCAGCAGACCTTTTGCTGAATCTCGTGATAGTTGCGCCGTCGCAGTGCCTGTGGTCCGCGGAGAAGCTGCAGTTGACAATGTCGCGGGCCTCCAGAGTTGTGTTCTTCTTTCCGTCGGAGTCCTCGGAGTCAACGAAGCGCGGCAGCTGCTGCACGCGGCCAACGCCCACTATCACTGCCTGGCCGTCGAACAGCAGCGGGTGGATGTAAGTGCCTAAACAAAACGAAAACCAGTTTTGTCTTTCCAGTTCGGTTCGGGGGCGCATGCAGCAGCCGCTAGTGCCAAACAAGCAAGTCTGAACCTCCCTGGCCGCGCTGCCGGAAACCCAAAACCCTAAACCCTAAACCCTAAACCCTGAGGGAAGCTGCTGCAGGCCTAAACCCCTCCAGGTACCTGATATCACTCCAACGTTCGACAGGGCAATTGTGCCGCCAGTGAGGTCTGCGGGGGAAAGCCGGTTAGCCTTTGCCTGCGGAACGCCCCGAGCGCATGCAGGTCTGGCTTTGAAACTTGGCATTTCTCTGAAGATTTAGAATTAAAATACTCTAAAAAGGGAGTTTACGGGTTTTAATTTAGAGACAGCTCACTAGGCCCTGCAGGCGGACTAGTTCGCGCTGGATTTCCACCAAAGTCAGGTCTTGCACGTTTTTCACGCATGGAACCACCAGGCCGCCCGGCGAGTCAATTGCGACACTGACATTGTGAGATCCGAACTCCGTGTACTGCGAAATAAATCACATTTTATTTTGTTTGTTTTATTTTATAAGTTTTATGATGCAAAATGCTGTAGTGTCCACACGAAGCTAAGCAGCAGCTGCAACAGGACAATGCTGCGGGCAGTCTCACCGAGTTTTGCGTTTCTGTGTTGAACTTCGAGTTGACAATTGGGTATTCATTGATGGCCAGGCTTATGGCTTTGATCAAAAAGGCAGTCAGAGAAATTCGGATGTTCTGAGAGGCCAGCTCTTTGTTCAGCGCGTGGCGCAGCTCAGTCAAACGCGTTATATCATATTCGTCGCCAATATTCATGTGCGGCACTTTCAGAGAATCCGTCATAGACTGCAACAAGCAGCAGCAGCAACAGCAGCAGCAGCAGCAGCAAACACATTTGCTGCTGCTGCTTGAGGCAGCAAAGCTGAACGCCCACTCCCTCTGCACTGTTCCCAGCGACCACAACATGAAGCTGGCGCGAAACTCTGCACCGAAAATGCAATTCTTTTAAAAAATGGCTGAATAAAATGAAAAAGAACAAAAGAAACTCAAATAAAATTAAATAAAAACCCCACCTTCACCATTGCCTTCGAAAAGCCCTGCAAAACCACTTCGCGGTTTTCGCGGCTCTGCCGCGGAGCCGGAGGGCTCTGGGCTGCGCCGGAGTTGTCTTCGCCTGCGCTGCTCTGGGGCTCCTGAGGGGTGCAGCACAAAGAAAAGAGGCATTTAACTGGATTCTCTGCGACTATCCAGTCTCTGAGTCTCAGGAAATATGTTTTAAGAAGTGCAAACTGAATTAAAACAATTAAAACGATACAGCTTGCGCACAGAGGCTCCAGAGGAAAGGCTATTTCACGAAATATACTTTGAGCTGCTCGTGTATACCTTGAAACTGAATTAAACGGCCTCCTTGAGAGATAATTCCCGAAAATATACTCTAAAGATGTGCAACTTGAAACAAAACGAAACAGCTTACGTACAATATTATTCAAGACAATGTACTCTAAGGATGTGCAACTTGAAATAAGGCAAGACAGCTTGCGTGTAGAGGCTCGAGGGAAAAGACGATTTCAGAAAGTGCACTCTAAAGAGTGTACTTTCTGAAAATTTGTCATGTGCAATTTGAAACAAAACAATACAACTTGTGCAGATGATTGGTTCAGGAAATATGTTCTAAAAGTATGCAACTTGAAATGAATTAAAGGACAACGGGCTGCGTACAGAGGCTCCAGAGGAAAGATAATTCAGCACGTCTTCCTTCGTGATTGCTCCTCGGGCTCCAGTTCCTTTCACAGAGTCCAAATTAACTCCTTTTTCTTTTGCAAAACGGCGGACTGCGGGAGAGGCAAGAGGCTCTGCGCCCTAAGTAAAGAAATTGGAACAAAAGAGGAAGCAAGCCATAAAGAACAAGAGCGATCAACTCCAATTTCAAAGGCATATATGCTTTTAATTCAAAAGATAAACAAATAGTGCTGGAGGAGCAATTATGGCTGGTTTCATTGCCTCTTTTCTGAAGTGGAAATGCAAGAAAACATCAGAGTGCACACGAAGTAATCGAGTCTGAGGTTTCTGTCTGCGGCGAAGTCCTTTGATCTAGCAACTGAGGCAGTAAAAATATACTCATTGGTGAAAAAACAGTAAAAGAAATGTCTACATTTGATGCAGCAGCTGCAGCAGCAGCACAAACTGCTTACTCTGCTAGAGGAAGCAGGAGCTGAGGGCTGCTGGGGTTTGCTGGCTTCGCTCGGGGGAGGAGCAGCAGGTGAAGGCTGCTGGCTCTGAGTTTCTTCAACATCTGGGGAATCTATGTCAATTAAAGGGGCCCCTATCTTCACAGTATCGCCTTCCTGAAGAATTTAAACATTAAAAAGACAACATGTCGAAATTAAACGGCCCAATATGCCTTTCTGCGCCGCCTGTGGGCAAAATGGAATTCAGCTTTCACAAGCTGTAGCTTACGCAATTCAACTTCCTAAACATATGCTGCAGCAACCTGAACCAGTGCAGCTTTATTTGTCTTTTAAATTCTTTTGAAGTGCTTCAAGAAGCAAAGAAACTCACCTTGGCGTACAGTTTAACGATCTTTCCAGAATAACGACTTGTGATTTCAACTGCGGCTTTGTCCGACTGCACCTCGCAGACCTCCTCCATCTGCGTTTTAAAAGAAAAGTGGAAACATAAATCAGACAGCTTTAAAAGCTTGTTGGGAATCAAATACCAGAAGACAGACACAATTTTCTCCCTTATATTGCTTTTCCTTTGCTGCATCACTGCAGCCAGCAAGCAGGTCAGATAAGAAGCTGCTGTTTTGTATTTCGTTTTCTATTCAGGCATTGAGGCTGCGACAGAACCCGTGGAAATTAAAAGCAAAGTCCTTAAATATTTTGTCTCGCGAGTTAGAGGAATGGGACTTCGAGAAATCCCACTGCATACCTCCTCCACAGTGTCGCCCGTTTTCTTGTACCATTTCGTCAGCTCAACAGACGCAATACCTGAAGAATCACAACACAAATAAGAAACTCCGGCTTCAGTAGCACGCTAGACGCAAAGAAAAAGCATTGAATTGTATTTAAATTATCTTTTCACTCATTTACCCGCTCTAACTGTGCAGAAAGGCTGTTTAGCTGCTTCTGGGGGCTCTAACTTCCAGTGAATTACCTTCGCCAATGTCCGCGAGCTTGAAGCAAACAATGCCGTGGCGAGGATGTGACACAGTGAAAACGCCCTGCAGTGGCAGCAGCAAAGTCCCAGAGCAGTAGCAGCAGCTGAAACAGTAGTTCTGTTTGCGAAACAAACGGGCGAGAGCAGCACTTCACTGACGCATAAACACACACAGGCAGCTGCTGTCGCTGCTGCAGCAGCAAAAGTCGCAGAAGCAATATCAAATCGAAGAAACTGCCCTCATTCCCACTCAGGAGGTGCTGGTAAAAGCCTAGCGCTTGAAATGGAAAGGCACATTCTGTGGATTGCCAGACTTAGACGCATGCGCTGCAGGGTTTACGCCCGGAAAAGAAAGACACAACAAAACCAAACTTATTTGACCTCTTTTATTGCACGGAAACTTCTTTCTGGAAGGAAGTATACAGCTTTTTCCCGGTCTAGGAAGCAGCAGAAGCCTCGGGACTGCCGCAAAGGAAGCATGAGATGAAACCGTGGATCCCGCGGCGCGAAGCATCAGTCCACCAAAATGTGTTGAGCTCAGAGGCCACAGAAGCCTCTAAAAGTGGCTTCTGGCACTGTATTTGTGCCTTCTGCTGTGCTGCAGACTCCATTCCGTGGCTTACTCTGGTGCTGGGGGAGCTCCTGAGGCCCTCCTGGAGCAGACGGAGGGACACGGCGGCAGCTGGAGACAGCCATGTGCTGCATTTACCAATAGGTGAATGATAAGAAGCAGCTGCGGCCATCCGGCCTAGAGAACGAGCAGCGAACGCCATAGTCGGGGTGGTCTGAAGGCGACAGAAGATGGCGACGGCGACCGTGGAAGCTCCGAATCCACCTCTAGCACACCAGGAAAATCGTGTCTATATTACATAATTTGGGTAAAGGCGCGAACTATTTGCGCGAAACAAAGCTTTCGATGTTGGCGCTGTGGGGCTTCCTGCCACAGAAGACGCGACCGCCGTGGCGGCAGGCACATGGACGAATTCTCATTTCTTTCCCTCTCAAATGCATTTATTCAAATTTAAATGTCAGTTCAAAGGAAAATGCCCGTTGCTTTCAACTCAAACGAGAGGCTATTTCCAACTGTCTTTCGTGCACAGCCAGCTTGCTACTGTACGCCTGTATGACGCTGCGGACGTTCTGCTGGCAGCAAGTTTTGTTTCCGTAGAACTTATTCTCTTTGAAAAAGATCAAAATGTTAATACGAGACTTTTTGAGCCGCCCAGAATGGGACTTTGGGGAGCGGTTTGGGATTTCTTCCTTCCTTCCGAATTGCATCTAAGGGCCCCCTGTGAACTGCTGCAGTGCCAGTGGTTTTCTGGAAATTTGTTCTGCAGATACAACACTTCAATAAACAGATTTAGACAACTAACTTGCTTTATGTATTTTCGTCCTGCAGAGATGTGCAGATGTGTACGGTTGTTGCAATTCCTGCTGCTTTCCCGCTGCTCTTATGACCATAGTCTGGACGCACAAGTCCCACTTCTGAATATCCTGTTCCAGATATTTAAATCTGGTGCTGTTCTATTCCTGTAGATTCGTCTTTTGGTGACAGATGAGACCAAAGTGGTTTGCAGTTCGTGTTTTCGCAAGAAACAACAGTAAGAGTAGACCGTACTAGATTTGAACTGGCCAGCAAAGCAGAAGTTGTAAAAATAGCCAGGTCCAGGGCCTGCTCAGCGCACAACTGCAAAAACAATAACCCACAGAAAGAACTCCTGGCTTTTCTAGTGTTCTGCTTTGTTGCTTCACGGGGCTGGACAACAGAACACAGGGCAGCAAACTATGCAGTTGCTGATCAGCCTTTGGCCAGCTACTGTATGAGCTCCACAGGCTCAAAGGCTTGCTAAGTGCCAAATAAATTAGCTATTAAAGAAGTTTTGGGACTAAGGGGCAACTCAGATTCTCCTTCATTCTTCTTACCAAGCAGCCCACGGGGCGCAGCAGAGAGAGAACCGAGTGAAACTTGAGCCGACAGGAGGCAACAGGGGTTACACTTTGCTAATTGTTTTGTGTAATTTGCAGATTTGGATTTAAGTTCAGAAAAAGGACCACAGAATGTAATCGTATTCGCTATTTTCCATGCAAACCAAACGCACAGCCTACCCCTGCAGTGAATATCGACATGCAAGTAATATTTGCAACAAAGATATTCTTTCGCATGCAGACATCCACACTTGACTGCTGATATTGCGTTGCTGCTAATGATATTAGTCTAGAGGCCAAATTTCTCTGGCTACTTCGCTTCCCCAGCCAAAATATATTCCAAAATTGCCCAAAATTGGCTGAGTTGGGAAGTATAGTTTTTAACCCCGGTGCAACCGATAATGAAACGCTTGAAAGTGCTTTCTGAGCTTTTTTAGGCGTGAAACTCCTCAGCATTTCACGAAAAGTTTGGAATTCGTAACTAGTAAAACATCGTCGATCCCTATTTACGCTCAAGTCTGTTGGGCTTCTGCAAAGCCATATACCTCGTTATTCAGCTTCTTGAATTTGCAGTTAAAATTGCTGAAATTTCACCAAGTTCGCGGGTTTATGACTAAATATCTCCGAATACAGTGTGGCAATGTGACCCCCCGATTGCAGTTTCTGGCGGCATTGCCTCGTGACATATGAATTCCCAAGAAGCTTTCATGCAGGATCTTGACAGTGTATGGAAATAAATCTCCAGGCACAATTTTTCAAGTACGAGAAGTTCTGTGAACAGAAAAAAGCAAGACAAACGGGCAGCCGTGTTCGCCGTGACAGTGCAGGAGCTTAATTCAGGCATATTTGGCAAAGACGAGCTGTGCCTTTTCATCTTTCTTCTTTAACTCTTATTTGTTTATCGTCAAGCATGTAGTACACAGCATAAGGTAATTGTTTCGAATTATTGCAGAGCAGTGAGCGGGAGGACCCAAACGCACATCCCCACAGCAGATCACAGACCGCGGCGTACTGGAATCTGCGCTTCATCCGAGGAAATGTGACAAAGAATTTGCACACAAAATCATAAATTGTTTGAAATGCTTCTTAAAAGAAAGAGAATTTCACCAGTCGCTGCATCGCTAGACGCAAGTGAACACCCCCAACCTCATTGGAGCGATGGAGCGGAGGCAAGAAAGAGACTCCAAAAGTGGCGAAAACGGGATTCGGCGGGGGAAAAAGTGCTGGGATATGAAGATGCAAAACAATTCAGATATTACTTCATATATTTGAATATATCTCTGTAGTTTTCAACGAAATACGGGAAGATTGTGTGGCTTCTGTTGAATGTTGAGGGGGATCGGTCCTTGCGGGCGTTCTTGGAAACTGAAGGAAACCCAGGCTGATGTTCATTTCTTAGAACTCGAATTGCTCCCCATTGTTTTCTAAAAGGAATAAATAATGTGTGGGAGAGTGTGGCTTGTTTGTTTGCAGTGCATGTAGGCCGAGAATCTAGGATTGCACGTATTACGTGGGTAGAAGAGGATGGTTGTTCTTCGGCAGTCAGTGCTGTGGTTTCAGAGCCTTCTCTGAGTTTCGCGTGCCCTCCTGCGGCACTTTGTGCATAAAAGTTGAATTCTTGTCTTTAGAAGTGCAGTTAGCGGCGTCTGCAGCGATCGGAGGCTTGCGCATCGGGCAGCGCTCACTGCCGCTGGGAAGCCGCGCGGATCCGCGCGGTAGAAGTCCATTTGCACGCAACTTGGGGGGTTTTGATGGTAGAAAATGGCGAAAGAAGGAGAACTGGAGCAGCAGTTGGGAGCCGTGGCTAGCGCAGCGCCTCCGGGGCCGCAGGAAACGGAGCCGGCGCAGGCGGAAGCCCCCGCGCAGCTGGAAAGCCGGCCCTTTTCGCAGCGCGAGCTGGAGCTGCCGCCTCTGGAGTACAAGAGAGAGCCCGCGGGGGCCTCTGGGGGCTTCAGCGTGGCGTCGGCGCTGCTGGGGAGCCTTTCGGCGGTGCTGCTGCTGCTGCTGGTGGACTCGTTCGTGCTGCCGCTGCACAGCTCCCTCAGCCTCGCCAAGAAGCCCTCCCTGGGCATTCTGCTGCCGCTGCCGGCCCCCACGGGGCCCCCCAGCGCCTTCGAGGGGGCCCTTTTGGCTGCAGCGCGGGAGCTCGAGGAGGCCTGGGCTGCAGCTTCTCCCGCAGTGCGCGAGGCCTTCGCCCGCCACTTCATGCCCCCCCCCTCCCAGCCCCCAGAGAGGGCCGGCGAGCCCATAGAGGTCTACAGGCGGCTCGTGCAGGCCATGCAGCAGGTGGAGGCCCCCCAGGAGGCCCCGCTGCTGCGGACCTACAAGTTGAATTTGCTGCTGCTGGAGGGCGTCTGCGGCGCTGCAGCGCAGCTGCTGCAGGGGCTGCGCCTCATGGAGCTGCTGCACCAAGAGACCGGAGTCCCGGTGTCTCTGCTCAACAAGAAGGCGAGTCTCAAGTTTCCCAGCTTCGACGAGCCGGCAGCAGCAGCAGCAGCAGCGGGAGACGCAGCAGCAGCAGCAGTCACCCTCAACGAGTTCCTCAGGGGCTTCGGGCTCGACGAAGACCTCCCCTCGAAGGCCAGAGTCCCCCAAAAGACCGCCAAGGCCCTCCAAGACCTCCTCAAGCTTCGCCTCATCTTCGACAGCAGCAGCAGCAGAGCCCACCACAGCTTCCGCCGCTTCCTCGCGGCCCTCGGGCTGGACTCCCCGCTGCACTTCCCCGAGCCCCCGCAGCAGCAGCAGCAGCAGCTGCAGCTGCAGCTGCTGTTCACGAAGGAGAAGTTCAACGTCGACGCGTTTGTGATGCATTCCAGAAAAGAAAAGTACTACAGAAGGGCCTCCGATCTTGTCTTCCAAGACCTCCTCTGGAGGCTCGCGGGAAACTGGAATGCAGAAAAAGTGGCGAAGTTCGCGGAAGAACAAGAGCCGGAGTTCAATTTTTTTCTCGAAAAAAATAAAAGTGACAAGGAACTCTTTTTGAAACTCGACTCCTGGGGGCCCCAGGGGCTACACCCCGAAGACGTCAACGCCCTCGTCAGGTACCTTCTTTGAAGACCTTTTGTTTTATTTTTCCTTCTTTTTCTTCTTCTTTTCTTTCTTTCTCTTTTCCTTTTATTTCTTTGTTTTGTCGGAGAGTGACTCGTTTGTTTGCCGAGACTTGTTCGGAAACAGAGATGAAGAATGTCCCGTTCGTACAGATGGGGACGGAGAGTGGCAAAAGCCGGTTTCTTTCTTTCTGCTCTTCAGTTCTTTTAAACTGATTCACTCTTCAGTTTATTTAAACTGATTTGTTCTTCAGTCTTTTTAAACTGATTCACTCTTCAGTTCATTTAAACTGATCTGCTCTGCAGTTCATTTGAGCGGATTTCGCCTCAGTCGCTGGTTCGCAGTGGTTCCCAGGTGTCTAGACACCTGACCGCATGCAGGAAGCGCTTTTCCACTTTGCACTTTGCCACTTTATGCAGTTTATTTTTGATCTCAAAAAGCCCTGGGAACCCATGGCCATTTCCTCTCAGCCATTTTGCGGGCTGGCCTTGAAGTTTAAAAGACAATTTGGCTCCCTTTTGCTGCAGTCCAACTCACACTGTACAGTGTCAAGACAGTTCTAGTTCGTGTTCTTGTTGGCTTCAATTAATAAAGCAATTCAGAATTCACAATTCTTTCCTTTCTGCAGCTTTCTTTGCCTGTTCAAAAAAGCTGCTGCTGCCTCTTCTAGACACTTTGCCTCGAAGTCCAATGGATTAATTCTCTTGGAATTGTTTTTTAACGTTTTTTGTCTTTGAAAGCTTATTGGTTTATTTCTGCCAAATAATTGCCAAATTGTTTGGCAATTATTGGGCAATTATTTGGCAATTATTTGGCGAAAATGCTTTCCTCAGAGCTTAACTCCGCACTCCTCAACTGAATTGGGTTTCTACTTCGAGTCTACTTTACAGGAAACTGGCTGGGACTGGAGGAAGTGAAGAGAAGCTTTTCCAGAAACACAAATATAAATAAATTGGGCCTATATTAAACACTTTAAATGTCGAGCATAGCCAAGCAGCGCTGCAGCTTGCACTGGCAGCCGCGGGTGGAGAATATGACCTGCATCGAACACCAGGGAGCCTTGAGTCTCGAGATTGGTTGCGAGCCTTTTAGCCAGTTTGAGTTGGGAATTGAAAATGCTAAAATTAAGTTTTTGAGTCTTTCGTGAGTAGAGGACACATCTTTCGAAGAGTCGGCTCGGGGGTCCCGAAGACGCGCCTCACGAAGGCAAATTACGAGCCGCCCTATTTCACGAGTAAACCCCCACAAATCACCAAAAAAGATGTTTCACTTGGGAAAAAATGATGTTATTTTGAAATGAACTCACACTGGCGCCTCGATAAGGCGCAGTCGCGCAGTGGCGCGTATCGAGGTGTTCGGGTGTACAGACGGGCGGCGCGCCATGCCCGGTGGTGGTAACCTGCGAGTCCTGGGGGCTCCAGGGACTTCCGTGGAGGCCAAATGGAGATAAACAAAAGTAAATTGTTGAACAATTCGTTTAAGCAAAGCAGTGGCCGAGAGAAGCAGCAGGGAGAAGCCGTGGCTGCACCCCAGTTCGCTCAGGAGGCGGTGATGCCCCGATTGGGAGCCAGTGCTCGACGCGAGCTGCGTCGCGGGCTGGAGGCTTTGCTGTGAAACCAATGTCTTTTATTCAGCATTACAATTTGAATTTATTTTTGGAAATTGCTTTTTAAAAGGCGGAGCTGCTGCGTGTGCGGCTGTTTGCAGAGTCCCGAAAACGGAGCCTCGAGGTAGCTGGTCAGAGAGGCACGCGCCCGATCTTCTCAGCGGTCAGCTCGCGTTTTGCAACAACTTAATTAAATTTGATGAGCGCAGATGGCTGCGAGCTTTCCCGTCGAGGCTGCAGCCACGGTAGATACACCCGGCGGTGAACCGGAGGTGTATCCGCTGTCCGCTGCCTCTGCTGATCCCGAGTCCCTGGATGAAGAGGTAGAGGCCCCCAAAGGGATTTCTTTAAGCGGAGATGTTTACAAACTCGCAGAAGATGACCTCAAGTCCCACCGGCGCCGGCGGTGGGGCCTCCGCTCGGTGGCCTTGAAGGGCTTTCTGGCTCTGGTGGTGTTGACCCTTCTAAGCTTCTCTATCGTGGACGTGAAGCCCCCCAAAGCAGCAGCAAAGTGGACCCCTCCAGCCCTTCCTCGTAGGTCCCCCGCCCCCCCCGCAGCAGCAGCAGCAGCAGCACCAGCCGCAGCAGCACCAGCACCAGGCGCAGCAGCACCAGCACCAGCACCAGCACCAGCACCAGCAGCACTAGCAGCAGCAGCAGCAGCAGGAGAAGAGTTTCCGCCGTTCCCGGACCCTGAGGGGTCCGTGGAGTACTACCAGGAGAGCTTTCTGTCTGCAGCCGACCAGCTGGAGGGCCTGTGGGAGAGGGCGTCTCCCGCAGTGCGGAGGGCCTTCGTGGAGCACTTCATGCCCCCGCGGGGGGCCCCCCTGGGGGCCCCCGCGGGGGGCCCCGCGGGGG